TTGATAACATGATATCGACAATAATATAAACAAAAAATAGTTTTAGAAGTAATTTCGCACACACATACAACTCAAATAGTACACTATAAAGTCAAAATATTGGTATATATATTCTTAATCACGAGAGTACGAGACAATTGTTGACAAATTATGAAAAATTAAAGTTGTTGGCTCCTAAAATTGTTCCCCTAATAAAAAAAATCTATTGATACTAGGTTACTAAGTGTCAGCGGTCAAGTTAGTTAATTTCAAAAAGAAACCTAAAAAATGACAACTACAACAAACTCATGTGATTTTTTACATGCCCAATGCCCAAAATTGAGTGCATACGAGAGTATAAGACTCATGAATATATTCTTTTGCCCAAAAAAATTAAATGATTGGATATAATTTTAAAATTTCTTTGATGTTTCATAAGCTTAATTATTATTTATATTCAACAATGTATAAGTCATTGACTGAAACTAGGCTCACCTGCCCTAACACTCTTTAGGCTATAACATAAAATATGTTTACGACATGAGTATGGGACTAATTGTATTAGAAAGTAGACCTCAAGAGCTTTCTAAGGATATACTGTAAGCCAAATTCCGACTTCGTAATAAAAAATTATGTGTTTCGAAAAATCAGACTGTGTGCCCAAGTGGAATTGTTAGAAACGTCGTGGAATCGGTCTGTAACTAACTAATTTTGTTGTTTCTTGGAGCGATTCTACCAACATTTTAATCGTTTGGGTGGATTCAGATTGTATAATCGTACGATTCTACGATCCGAATTGCGATATTGCTTAAAACCCTAACTACACAAATAACTTGTATTACTAGACGTAAGGGTGCTTATGGCTTGTTAACGGTACAAGAAGATATTACACCTCAAAAACTTGAATGTTTGGAAGTCCCGGTTTCACATTATTGTATACTTAAACAATGCTATAGCATAAGTTGCCATTTAAAGTGTGTTATATTTACCTAATTTTTACTCCTTTTATCTTATTGTTTGAACTTGTATAAACTTATTAATAAGCATTATGATTTGTTTTAATTGTAAATTGACTTAGATAGCCCTTATTCGAACTTAATTTTTACTCGATCTTAATACAAGTCATTTTCATGAAATAAGTGAGAATAAGGACAAGTTCTCTTCAACTTGATTTAGGCACTTCCTTAATAAATTCATATCGGATCAAATTAGGCCAGAATCATTTAGATCATCCCAGATCAGAACTTTTAATTATCATTTACTTATTGTTAAATATCGTTAATTGCGTATTACATCCTAAGAGGTTTTTTTTTTAAAAAAAAAAAAAAAAAACCAAGTTATTACCTTTATTAAATACTAGTCGTTGGAGCACGCGCTACGCGCGTGCCCCCCCCCCTTCCCCCCCCGACGGTAAGATATGTAAGCTTCGTGGATGTGATCGTGTTTCGTAGTTTGAGGTGTTATTAACATGCTGATTAGGGAGCATAATTTAATGAATTGTAAAAAGAGCTTGTTGTATCATTAATGTTATTATTGTGTGTGATTATCTTAAATATCCGATATCCAATTTTTCAGATCGAATATCCAAATTTTTTGGATCAGATCCGGATTGGATCAACAAATATTCGAATTTTCAAATAGTTTTGCTTAGCACAAATTTAAGGATTAATCGGTGCAATATATGTAATGTTAATTGTGTGTTGTTATCTCTAAGTTTATATAAACGCACATAAGTTTAGTTTATGCTAATTAGTTACATTTGAACGATTACAACATTTTTAGCGATCGAGCATCTTCAGTAAATAATAATCCCTAATTCTTGATATATGTTTATTATGATTTAATTAATAAGTTTTTCACAATTATAAGTTTATTCGCTTAATTAATATTTATCTTTAAAGTTGTTTTCTAACTATCATAAATATGTTGTTCTGGTGTTGTTTAAGGAAAGAGCTCTTAGGGCTTTGAACAATAGAGTAAGTTGAATTCTAATATAGTTGGTTGATTAAATATGTATTTTTAAGAGTGTTATTGTGTATATGTAAACATGGAATGCACGATAATTCATTTTCTTACTACTTAATGACTGTTAATTTACTAATTAATAATAATCTTTCTCTTTCTTTTTGATTTATCTCCTTCCTAACTATGTCTATATGTTCCCACTTTTTTTTAATGGCTTTGAAAAATTTTGGTTCACTTGCTCCCATTTCACTCGTTTCATTATTCCTTTATTGGCCCAAACTCTTTCTCTCCCTCTCTTTCTTTCTTTCTTTCTTTCTTTCTTTCTTTATTCTTCTTGTCCTTATTCCATTCTAAAAACGAGCTTTTAAAACCATAGGTTGCACTTTCTCCCTCTCTTTCTCTCTCTTTCTCTCCCCTGAGCCATCTATCTGTCTATCTCTCCCAGCTTCTCTTGATCTTCCTTTTTCTTCTAGCCTCTTTCTTTCTCTCTTTATCACTCTATATCTATTTCCTAGCCCCCTCTCTCTATTTAATTCACGAATTTTTTTCGATCTTCCGACCTCTTCAATTCTATTTCTCTTGCCCTCGTTCTCTCTCTATCTCATTATATTTTTCCTTTTTCTTTTTCTATTTCTATCTTCTCGATCTTCCAGATCCTCTGTCCTATCTATTGGCACTTTTCTCCCAACACTTCTTTAACAATCTCCGACATGTCCTTTACTCTTAGCTCATGGCTTGTCTTTTATTTTTCTTTTTTAGCTTGCCTTCTCTCTCTTTTATAGCACCTTTCTCTCTCTTTCATATATAACACCTTTCTCTCTCAACCCCCCTTTATTTTTCTTTTCTAGCACCTTCATCTCTTAACCCTATTTATTTCTTTCTTTCTCTTTTTCTCTCTCTCCTAGCACCTTCGTCTCCTAACCCTCTCTTTCTCTCGGCATTGCCTTCTCTGTCTATTTGTTTGTCTATTTTTCTCTCTTGACCCTTCTCTCTCTCCCTTTATTTCTCTCTCGACGTATCTTTTCTCGCGCCCCTCTCTTCCTATCCCTCCTCTTTTTTTCTCTCTCTCCCTCTCCTATTTCTTACTCCCTATCTTTTTTTCTCTCATCTCTCGTGTCTGTCCTACTCCTCTCCCCTTTCCTACCTCCTATCCTCTATCTTTCTAAAGCTATCTATAACTATGGTTGTACAAATATAAAAAAAACATTTACTTATGAATCTAACACGGTTATATCATAATGTTGATAAATTTATTCTAAAGGTGACTCTAATCAGTTTGATGCCTCAATTGTCACAAAAGCACATTGTTTAATTAATAACATTTATTGATTACTGAAAAAAGATTGTCTAAATCTAGTTGTCGAAATCTACTCCTCCTATATTGTTATCTCTTTTTCCTCTTCCCTTTAGCTTTCTTATCTTTAACTCGTCTTTTATTATTTCGACCATTTTAGAAAGTTTCTAAAAAGTATTGTCAACTCCTTACTCAATTACACTCTAAAAAGTATTATATGTCTTTCGTTCCTTTAATTCTCAAAACTCTCTATCTTCCTATTCTTTTTGCTCCTTTGTACTGACTTCATAACTTATAGGTATCTCTCTCTCTCTCTCTTGAGTGTTTCTCACTTTCACCCTCTTATCTACAGTCCTACATTCTCAATGGTTACTTCTTACCCAATTATACTCTAAAAAGTATTATTTGTCTTTCGTTCCTTTAATTCCCAAAACTCTCTATCTTCCTATTCTTTTTGCTCCTTTTTACAGACTTCATAACTTATAGGTGTATATATCTCTCTCTCTCTCTCCCTCTCTCTCTCAATAGGTTTTCTTGAGTGTTTCTCACTTTCACCCTCTTATCTTCACTCCTACATTCTCAATGGTTACTTCTTACTCAATTACACTCTAAAAAGTATTATTTGTCTTTCGTTCTTTTAATTCCCAAAATTCCGTATCTTCCTATACTTTTTGCTCCTTTGTAATGACTTCATAACTTATAGGTATGTCTCTCTCTCAATAGGTTTTCTTAAGTGTTTCTCACTTTCACCCTCTTATCTACAGTCCTACATTCTCAATGGGTTTTTAGATGTCCTTGACTCTTACCCTAAATTTTGATTGAGAAAAAGAGAGTAACAATTTTACAACTACATGTCTTCTTTAACTTTCTTTAAGTTCACTATGGGAGTGTTTGGTAAGTGGGAATTGAGGGTGGGATTGGGAGTTTTAATCCCAATATAAAAAATAAGCCTTGTTTGGTTGGTGGGAATGGGAATGAAAAGGGGTTTGTGAATGGGTTATTTACAGGTGAATTCCCACCCTTTTATTACCTAGTGAGGGTAGGTAATAAATGAATGAGAATGGGAATAGGAAGAAAAATGAGATTTTTGCCATTAATAAAAAAAATTAAATAACAATCTTAATAAGGGTATTTTGTAAAATTGTTATTTATGTCCTATATATTCACATCCACTATCCAAACAAGGTATTACCATATTTTTATGTATTCCCATCAATTAATTCCCAAATTCCATTCCCACCTTTCAATCCCCAAACTCTCATTCCCACAATCCAAACGCCCCGTATATGTTTTCATCAAATCCTCGATTAGTATATGATTGCCCAAGGAAAAGTGAACAATTACCGAAATAACTTGTAAGAACTCTACATCAATAAGAATCTGAGAGCAGTACAATGACTTTTGATCATCTCATTTTTCAACATAATATTCTCGTATTATACACGTTGAGATTCATCCAACATTCCAACAAAACAACGAACGAATAAAGAAATTGAAGTTATATGGTCAGTAAAAATATACTGTACAAGTATACATGATTTCTGTAAAAATTGCTTATAGAAACATGCATTTTGGTCAAACCATTTTGCCCTCATAAGAATGGTTTCTAATTTTCTATTAACATTTTTATATAGTTTGTCTACTTGTAGAAACATGCATTTTGGTCAAACCAAAAGTTGAAAGCACTCCTTGTAGACTTCAATATACAACTTCCAGTCTGAGATGAAGAATCACCATCCTTGACATTGTTATGGCCCTACAAGGGTGAGTTCGTATGACTGTGAGATTCCATCCCTAATTGAAGACTACATCAAATGACTGCAGTTATAAAGGATATACTTACCAATATAATAAATAATAGACAAGCGCAATAATATAATCCATAAACTTCAACTCCTCAATTAAGACAATTTTTCTTGATTGTGTAGACTGGTAAATGAAAAAGATAACCCATGGTCGTTGGTGATAAGATATGATATAAATAAATAAATAAACCACACCACCACCGGTAATTATATTGGAAAAGAAGGTTTTATGTTTATTGAAAATAAAAATATAGAGTATTTTCACAAAATCTACAGGGTTCCTAGGTTCAAGGAATTCAAAAACATAAAACAGGATAATAGCGTCATAAATTAAACCATTATAGCTTTTTCTGCTGAAACAACTTGCTTGCAAATCCAAATATCCTGATTATCTCTCTTTCTTTGCTTTTCATTAAGGCAAACCAGTCACCAAAGCCGTTTTCAAATGATGAAATACAAATACATATGAAACTTATTCACCAAAGCTGTTGTAAAATAACGAAATAAAGATAGACATGAAATCAACAAGAGGATATTCAGAGCCGTCAACAGATAGAGAAAACGATATAAAATAAGAGAAGAGAGCAATCAAAAGCTTAATAGAATATACTTCTCATAAAGTCATCAGCTAAGTAAGAGAAGTTTATTTCAAAGTCAATTCTCAACTACATTACAACAGTAGCTGCAGGTCACCAACCTTTTTTGAGTGGGTTTCATCTTGATTGAATTCAAAAGGAGAGGAGCATATCAGATGTGTTGTATAAGATCTTAGTTCTAGCAGACACTAAGGATTAAGCAATAACATCAGGGTTAAGCAATAACTATATAAGATTGCAGCATTAATTAATTTTGGACAAACATATCATTACTAAATTTTATAAATCGGCTCAATAAATCTTGGAAACAAGCACAGTTCAAACATATGAATAAGTAAAAAATTAAAGTGACTTTCATAACTTCTATTGAAAGCATGTTGAGCAGAAGAGTCTCACGACTCTCACCTATATTAGCAGCCCAGATTGCAGACCAGGGCCAGGTGATATGACAATATTATCAAAGGCTCTTTCCTCGTATAAGCTATAGTATGTTACTTCTCATGTTACCATTCATAAACAACAGTGTATCATTTTCATTTCCATAAAGAATATAGATATAATCCGCATAAACAAACCTCCGCATTTGCTCCAGCAGCCCTGACACTGATAGTGAGAGAAGGCAGCAACAAACAATAAACCAAAACAGAAAAAAAATCAGTCAAATAAGCCGATATATTCTTCAGTAATTGATTTCAACAAATAGACTCTCATCACAAAATTTGAACCAATCCAAAATTACAAGAGCAACCAATTAATAGTAATCTGAAATTGAACAATACAAAAACAAATTCCACAAATTGATTATTATTGATTGTGATAAACAAACACACAAAATCCACCTCCAAAATCACTCATAATTTCATAACTCAACACCATAAAACAAAACAACTCAAAAAAGTACGCTCCCTTCATCATCAAGAAGACTCTAGATTCACTAACAGATGCAGTAGGAGTGAGATGAAAGAGTACGAGGTTGGTGTTGATAAAAGAGATTTTCTTATGGTATTGATTGAAATATTCACTAACCTGCCAATATCTTAAGCAACAACTTCAAGCTCAGGGTGTTGATGAAAGAGTACGAGGTTGGTGAGCAAGGGACATCACCGACAATTCCGAGTAACTGGAATTGGTATGGTTGCTGTTCCACTGTCGTGTACACAGACTTCCAGATTTTTTTATTTTTTGCAATTGCTTGAAATTGGAGGGCGGTATAAAGTCGAGTAAAAAAATAAAAATGCACCCTAATTTGTTCAAAATTCCAAACAAACTTGATAATTATTTTCAAATCCAAGTACAATAACAACCTAATTCGATTAACAATGAAATGATAGATCGAGAAATGATTTTTGATGATTAAAAAACAAACATCTAAATTACAGAATTTGAGCAAAAGCCCTAGAAAAAAAATTACAGCCTAATTTTCCAGAAATGAGCAATTTTTACATATTTCTATTCAACCACATCAAATTGAAGGAGAGAAAATACCTTACAAATTTCTGAGTTTCATCAAATTGATGGCAGAAACTTCCCAACCACCATTATTTCCAGCGCCGTTCATCGCAGTTTCTCTCCTCTTTTTCCCTTTCTTAGGTTTCATCACCACTCATTCATTTAAAAATAGTTCGAGTTATTAATCGAATTTGAGAAAATTAATTAAGAAGCTTAATGAAGAAACGTAGCACAAAAAAGGATTACTGTTAAAAGATTGTCAAAATTGATATTAGATGATTATAAAAAGGATAGAGATCTTATCTCAAGAAGCTGCTATAATGGAGGAAATTGAAACACAATCTCAGACTGAACGGGAACCTCGGAGACGGCGGGCCGAAACTGGAGGAATCGAATTCACAAGAGAGGAGTGGTAATTGATCAGCTAATTCAAAGAAAAAAACTAAACTCAAAAACTGCTCCAATGGTAAATTTAGAGAGTGAGTGTGAGAGAGATTCGGAATACCACCTCCACCACGAATCCTGGTAACAAAGAAGAAGTCATTAGATCATACCACATTAATTCAGCTTGTTATGCATCAATTTTCACATAATTCCGTTAGCTTAATTTGCATAACTTAATTCCCATAGCTCAATTCCCAAATCACGACATCCTATTAAACCGAATCCCACCAGAAATAATTCTGGATATTTTTTTTAAAAAAATTGAATTACAAATGTGGTTTTTTTTATTTTAGTTGGTAGTTTAATATTAAGAAAGGAGTAGAATTATACCTGAAGATCGGAGAAAACGACATCAAATATCATCTTCCACAAGCTCCCATAACCATCGTCGAAGGGATGATAGGTGGTTTTGAGCTCATCGCCATTGTTGTTGAAGGAAGACATATTTTCTCTCTCTAGCTTTCTCTCTCCTTGTTTCCATAAATACTCTGAGCTTTTTTTTAGATGAAAAGAAAGAGAGCTAAGGGAGTAGGTAAGGGAAGTCGGTGAAAAAGCGCTCAAGCTGTCAAGCATGAAGCATCAACCAATTAGAATAAAGGGCATTTTCGGAATTCCATTAATTTCGGGGGTGTTAGTGTAATAACGCCACAAGTTACTGTTACTAAGTTCCCACTTTTATTAAGGGTTATAGATTAATTGACAATGTGTCCATAGTTACATACGGAGCAATTACAAAAGTTTTCCCACACTTGTTTAGTTCTAAAAGGTACTATAAACTAGCAAGGCGATGAGCTACATTATTCCCATCGATTTTCACATGAGACCACGAAATAAAATCAAAATCAACACAAAAATAAAAGATATCATCTAGAATTGAATCAAGAACAATGAGGAAAGTAGTCGTTTTAGAGAGACGCGAAACAATCACTTCACTATCTGATTACACCACAATCTTCTTGTAACCACAGCGGCGTGCGAGCTTGATCCCAAAGTGAATGACCTTACACTTGGCAATTTTTGGTGACCAATAGCCTCTAGTGCGACGAACTCCCGCAAACAAGACCTCACCATATGTATTCTTGTCCACAGCACCCAAGCCAATCCAACCTTCATCCTTCAATGAGACAACACAATTTAGTTGCACAAAATCAGGTGAAGAGAACAAGTCCTTAGTTACAGAAAACAACCTTTCAAAAAAAAAAAAAAAAAAAACCTTTTTTTTTTACGTATATGGGCCTATCCACAAGTATGAAAATGAAACCCTGAAAAGCAAAGCCCAAAAACCCTAAAACCATTTGGAGTATATTTATCCAACTCCATCACATAAAACCACTGAAATGCTGGTTAAATTCTAGGGTTTTTTTTGTTAGAGTGAGCTTCATCAGCAGCAAGAAGAAGAACCAGCCGCCGCCGCCGAAGAATATCCTCTTCCTACGCCGTCACCATGGGTCGTATGCACAGTAAAGGGTACTTCTTCATCTTCTTCTCTGTTTTTCTCTCTCTTTAATGGCGTCGATTTCTCATTCTTCCCATTTCTCTGATGTTCTTACAGTAAGGGTATGTCCGCTTCTTCCATTCCATACAAGCGGACTCCTCCTTCCTGGCTCAAGATCTCCGCTCAAGATGTAAGTTTTTTGTTGATTTTTATTCAACTTGTTTGAATTTTTAATCGATTTAGTTGATTGTTCCTATTAATGTTTTTAGTTGGTTTTGAATTTGATGGTATAACCCCATGTTTTTATTCATCAATTTGCATATATAATCAGAAATTTTGAGAATTTTTAAAGGATTTACATACCATTTACAATTGTTTACTTGGGTATTATCTCTATTACGTAAATGTGTATTTTTTTTGGATTATTTTTGATATGAGCAGTGTTGTGTGAATTAAAAAATTGATTGAATAAACTCATGTTTATTTTAATCTGATTACAAGTATCGATAATTTATTGGGTGTTTTTTGTTGTAGGTTGATGACAACATTTGCAAGTTTGCAAAGAAGGGTTTGACACCTTCTCAGATTGGTGTGATATTGAGGGATTCTCATGGTATTGCTCAAGTTAAGAGTGTTACCGGTAACAAGATCCTTCGTATCCTCAAGGCTCACGGTAAATTTATATCCTCTGGTCCTGCAACCTCTCTTAAATGTTTGCTTTAGATTTGTTTTTGTGAAATTGAGTGTTGAAATTGTGGTAGAGAAACTGATGTATATTGGGAAGAATAGGGAGTGTGGCCGGGCAGTTTGTATACAGTTTGTTTCTCAATTTCTATAATGGAAGCTCATTTAAATTATTGATTCCGGAAAGTTGGATGTGTTTTCGATGTGTTTAGTGAAATACCGCGATACTTTTGTTGGGGTATTGGAATTGATATTGGAAGGTTTTAGTTTTGTTTTTGTTTAGTGTTTTGTTTACTTGTTTGGCTTGGTTTAATTACTTAAATATGGTTTTTTTGACCCGTACATCTTATTTCTGTGGTTTTGAGAGTGGCTGGAAATAGAAAGATGGGCATGATAATTACATGAGATCTTAGAATTTGTTTTCCTTTAGCTTTAAGGATGTGGAAACAGGAAACCATTTGTTATGTTTTAACTTCTATGAGTTGAATCTCTGCTTTTCGGAACTTTTGTGTTTTTAGATGAGCTATGACTTACATGAGTATGCACGGCCTTTAAATTTGAGTCCAAGCTGTAGTTGGGTTTTATAAGCTCTTAAGTCCCGCATTTTTAACATGTTTAATTCTGTTAGACATAAAATATATGAGTAAGTGAAGCTTACCTTGTAAGAAAAAAAAATCATATCCATTGATCATTTGTTTAAATCTTACTTTTGCAAGAAAACGAGTCATGTCCATTGATAGTTGTTTGAATCTTATTAGTTTGAAATAGTTGCCTTGGGCTCATGAAACCTGTTATTAATATTGTCTTGTTTGGATTAGGGTCATTCGGTGGGACTTAGACCATTTTCTTCCCTAATTGCTTTAACTATTTTGGATTTATGAACTTGATTAGTTTGCTAAGAGGTATTGTTGTCTTGTCCAGACATACAATCACATAACTCCTATCCCCTTTTACTTATCTATATTTGATTTATAAACTTCGTTAGTTCTGCGGTTGTGCCAAGAGGTATTGTTTTCATCTCTTGCCATACAAATATACTATATCACAATCACTAAGGTACTGAACTCATCTAGTAGAGAATTAACTTTGCTCTTGTAAATTGGAATTTGGAAATCAACAATATTTTTGTTAACTGTTATCATATGTTTTGGTCGGTACTATTTCACATGGATGTAGTGTATTCAGCTTTTGTCCTTGACTTGTGATTACTTGATTACTATTTATTCTCAATATCAGTTTTAGTATCGACTGAAGATTTTTGCTAATTGTTTACTGGTTATCTTGCTTAGGTCTGGCCCCTGAAATTCCAGAGGATCTCTACCATCTTATCAAGAAGGCAGTGGCTATCAGGAAGCATTTGGAGAGGAACAGAAAGGATAAGGATTCCAAATTCAGGTTGATTTTGGTTGAGAGCAGGATCCACAGACTTGCTCGTTACTACAAGAAGACTAAGAAGCTCCCACCAGTCTGGAAATAGTAAGTTTACATGTTAATTGAACCTTTTTATACAGTTTCTCTGTAAATTTGATATTGTTGTTAGTATGCCTTGAAATTAACTAATTGCATTTATGAATTTTTTCTGCAGCGAGTCTACAACCGCTAGTACTCTCGTGGCTTAAGCATCTGTTTTGTTTTGTATCCATTGAAGTAGAAGAAATGTTATATTCAGGCTGGGCACGTTGTGTTCCAATTTGCTGTATGGCCTTCTACAACCAGTATAATATCGTTTAAAATTATGATTAGAAATTTTGTTTTTCTTTAGTAAGTGCTCTCAAAGGACTCGGGAGATTTGCTTGCATGTCTTGGTAATTTGTCACTATGAAGGCATTTAGTTTGTGTTGGAATCCTTATGTTTATTCAAGTTAAATGCATCTTTATTTTATGACATTCAATTTGCTAACCAAAGTACTCTTACCTATTTTTTTATGACACTAAGCAATCAAATCAATTTTTTTTTTATTTTATTTATTAGCACACATGGGGTGTACTTACCAGTTACCAGGATGAAGCTCCGAACGAGTGTCGTGTGATCATATTACTTAAGTATCAAATCTGATAATCTTTTGTATTTGATCCCTTAGTGATGAACCCATGTTTCAGAAGCTCTTAAGGTGGACTTGTCATTGGCAGTTCTTTGGTCCATGTTGTGACTTGTGTCGAGGGTCGATATGTTTTAGAGGTTCTCAAGGTGTTTGATATGTATTGGAAACAATCCTTGATTGGATTTTTTGACTTTCTCCCATATTCTTCTTAAGCCTTGTGAGACCATTTTTAAATATTTATACCAAAATTCTACTTCCAGTGGGTGGAATTGCGTTAACGGCTCCATCTTTTGTATTGAGCATCCATTGTAAATTTGACATATGTTTGTTGAAAAGATCAGGATTTACATGTAGTAGTAGTAAATTTCTGCGGAAGTTTTGTAAAATAAAAAACCGTAGCAGGCTAGCAGCATTAAAGCCATGAAATACTTGAATCTGTACAAAACATTCACTACTACTACTCTATGAACTATGAAATAACTTAATCCTCAAAGTTAGGACTGCAGAAGTGCAGAGTGAGCTCAAAGAAAGCTCCTCAAACTACTAGTTTTATTTGACGAATGCTCCTCAAACTAGTACAAATTCTATTTATGACTGTATTACTACTAGTACTATGAACTATGAAGTATGAACTAAAGCATACAGATTATATAATTTGCGGAAATACTATTTGATAACCTGAAGTCAGAAAAAATGCATAGTATGCAATTGGTTTTCATACATGGCCTGAAGTTGAAGATAACCTTCAGACAAAATAAAACGCCCAATTTAATTTACTATGAAATGTTACGAATACACGTTTGTAAGCTATGCAAAATAAATAAATAATCTATGTAAATAAAAGGATTACATACAATATAAGATTGTAATTCTAATCCTTGCCAGATTAACCCAATAATACAAGTATAAAAAACACAAATATATCAGAAGATTAAAATATTGGAATTTGCTGAATAAGGGGCCAATCTTCACCATTTGGTTGCTTACATCTTGTTTCCAACTGTGGACATTTACTAATATTAAGTTGTTGTAGAGAAGAAAGGCTGCGCAATGATTGTGGAAGTGAGGCCAATTTCTGGCAACGGTAAATTACAAGCCGTTGAAGCTGGGAGAGGCGGCCAATCTCCTCTGGCAGGCTAGTCAAATTATCAAGATAGATTATATTGAGCTCCCTAAGTGCCTGTAGACTACCAATGGCACTGGGGAGCACCTGCAGTTTCGAGAGGTGTGAGACTTCGAAGAAATAGAGGCTTCTTAAGTCTGGCCAAGCTCTGGTGTCCCGCAAATCCTATTCTTCACAACTGGAGATGCTCAATTCCTCGAGGGCTGGGAGATGTTGCAGTGCATCATATATGTTTCTCAAGCTTCTACAGTTATTTATATTAAGAACTTGAATGGAAGACCTTGGAGATACCATGATCAAATTGGTGAGCTCATCGCAAGACCTGATTGATAAAGACTCTAAACTACAAAAATTAATAGAAAAGGAAACTAGATTATATATTTGGTTTATCGCCAAAATCTTGAGTGTAGAAGGAGTAACTGAAGAAGATGATGTCGATGGTGCTTCTCGATGTGATGCCAGAAGGGATTCCAGCAGCTTCTCTTCAATCATTTCAAAACTTAAGTGCTCAACCCTTGGCAGTATAACAGGTTTCGACATCAACATTAAACAATCACGAATTCTAACTCGAGAAAGGCAGGGGAAGAGTATTAATGGCAGCTGCTGAGAAGTTAAGTTTTTGTTACTGCTCGATATTATCATCTCTTGTTGCTGAGGTTGAACTTCGTCCATCACTCTTGGTCTTGATCACCAAGCCTTTAATTTAAACAATGTTGACAAATACAAATACTCTAAGACAGGGAAGTATGTTGTAGAACAAGGCTCTGCATCATCACCCCAATGATATTCTTCTATGTACTCCACTGCAATGACATCAAGACTTAGACTTTTGAGATGAGGTAGATTACTGAAGCGTGGAATTTGCCGGCAATATTCACAGCATTGAATAGTAACATAAACAAGTCTAGGGAGTAAGCAATGTAATCCCTCAGCCATCCTAATTGGAAACCTCTCTCCCCCGAAGCCTATAACCTTCAAAGATCTAAGGTTTGTAGAAAACATCAGGAATTCGAAATCTAATTTTGAAATCCAACGTGAGACCATTTAGCTGTTCTTGTCAGTCCAATTTCACCCTTCTGGATTCTAACAATGTATTTTTACGCCATACATGAAATCTAATTGCCAGATTTCCCCTAAGCTCCAAACTAGCCAGTGCGTCTACACTGTTATTTTTCCCTACCATAAATGTGTTCAATTCTCTGAGAGATCTCATCTTCTCAAATCCTGAAGGCATCTCTCTTAAAATGAAGCATTTTGAAATTCCCAAGCGTCTAAGGTTAGCCAATTTGGTAAAATCATTTGGCAATTGTCCAAGATTACTGCATTCATACAGGTTTAACGTTTGCAGGTTCTCTAACTTTGTGATGGCATCGGGAAGACACTTAATGGAGCTGTATCTAAGATTAAGGTATCTCAGATGTCTCAACCTTCCTATACACCCTGGCTGTGTCTTACCAAATTCTACAAATTTCAAGGCACGTAAGGATACCAATCTGGAAATCGTCCGTGTCAAATCCTCTCTTCGAATCCCCAACTTCCTCATGGCCGATACTCTCTTCGGATTCCTCAATGCACCCTTGGGCCATCCAAAGATGAACGAGCTCGTTCTTCTCAAATTCTTAATCTTTTTCAAACAACGAATAGTAAGCAAAGCATTGCTTCAACGGTGATGGCAGAAAATCATAACTCAACTTTAAAACGGGCATAACGTTGTCATCTTCGGTCACCTTTGTCTTTGCAAGGTGACCATCTCGAAACAACAACCACTCTTGCTCAGTGTCTTTAGAGTAAAGGAGGCTTCCAATAACTCTAATAGCAAGCGGTAATCTTCCAAATCTACCAACAATATATTTTCCAATCCTAGTAAAACTAGGACTGCTCTCCTCCTGCCCTTCTTTCAATGATAATCTTTTGAAAAGCTCCCAAGACTCCTCATCTGTTAGCAGTCCCAAATCGTAGGTTGGACACGTCCCAACAACATTTTCTACCCACATTAGAATGCGTAGTCACAATTATCTTGCTTCCCTTGCTATCACAACAGGCCCGTTTATGAGATTTCGGTGGCCTGGGGCAAAAATATAAATCGGGGCCTTAATTCACATATACTATATAAAATTTTTAAAAAATTGGGTATGCAAAAATATTTTATTATGATCAATATGTTGTGAATTAAGGGGGAAAGATGAGAGATTGAGAGAGAATTAATCTGCCCATATTATTCCATATGATAGGGGTATATATATACATAGAATATTATAAGTAGGGTTTGCTTAGATAAGCATAAACCCTAGATCTAGAATATTCTGGAAACATACAAAGAGGATAATGGATATCCACACAATATTTTCATAACACTCCCCCTTTGATGTCCATTATCGAAGATTGTGCCTCGTTAAAACCTTATTAAGAAAAACCCTGTGGGATAAAAAACTAATGAAGGAAAAAGAGTACAACATTCTTCGTAATACGCTCGAAATGCCGCCTCGTTAAAAACCTTACCAGGAAAACCCAATATGGGGCAAAAACCATGGTTAAGGGAAAAAGAGTGCAGCGTATAATTTCTCCCCCTGATGAAAACATAGCTTGAGGTCTTCTAATGCAATGAATCCAATATAGTTGAGTGTCTTCAATTCACACATGACGCAAAATAGTATCATTCCTTGATTTTAATTTCGAGTCTTCCAAATCTTCAAATTTTTACTCAAATAAGTGAGTTTTCATATCACCAAACCTATAACAATAATACATGTGTTTGTCCACATTTCATTTAAAATCTCTGTTCAAAGTTGCCTTAACTATTATACTTATGCCTTCTTATTAAGGTCGTGAATAATCGAAATTGATGATCATTATAATTTGATTAAACATTCCTTAATAATAATATGGCAACCCATGATATTATTAATGTTGATTTTTCAATCTTGTATGAAATAATAATATAGCACATGTAATTATATACATTGATCGTGGTTCTTTTGGACCATGATAAAACAGTCTCATGCATAAGTATCTTGTTGATTTTATAGAATATTTATAATTAACACGATAGTTCTCTTTCATATACAAATAGTAATTCTCATTACTAACACTTATATGCTCAAACTTCAGGTTGAGATGTCAATAATTTAGTCACATAGACTTTTCAAGAGTTTGATAGTAATTGCATTATACAAGAGATAAACTTTGTAGGGCTGGATATTTAAATACGTCGTATATAAGTTCTTCAGGAACTCTTTTTACATGATTCATAACGTGCAATTAAATAAGTGTCATCAATAATTTCATCATAATTATAAGCCAATTGGAATATAAATATCTCTTTCTAATTTTTCATCAAAATTGTAAATATGTCTTACTATACTTTGAATGATCATTCACATACACCACATTGTAAGAAATTAATCCATGCAATATGAGATATATAAAATATGATAACATATTAAACAATATATACAATGAGTAAGACATATAACAACTTCGAACATATGCAATGAATAATCTAGTAACCTATGACTCACACATGCATATGAACATACATAGGACTCGAAATAATGCAAGACAAGGTACAGTGTGGATTTTAAAAATCCATATTTCTTTAGACTTCTGGTCCATGATAAACTTTTATTATTATCATTATGAAGACATTAAAATGGACATATATTCCAGTTCCCTTATTCACTAGTTCATTATATCATGCATATGCATTATTTATCGGTTCCATCATATACCGGTA